AAATAAAACAACACTATTTTACAAAAACTTTTGTCATTACTCTGTAACAATTCAATGCAAAAATATTGTACTCATAAGGCAAAAGCATAMAGACTTCAATTTTAAAAGATTTTTGGGGAAGTTTAACAAAAAATGCTGATGAAGTGATGACTCACATATCTGAGCACATATAACCACACAATCACAAGTCAAACAGCACATCTAGATACTACTGATCTCTCACACACACACACACACACACACACACACAGATAAAAAACTACACTCACATGAAGCGTGACCAGCACTGGGTTGTGTCTGGCCCGAGAGTCGGCGAGCAGCAGAACAAAGCGCACCGTGCTCCAAATGCGCAGGATGATGAAGATGATGGGAATGAGAGTTAGCTTCACATCCGCCATGGAGGAGAAAGCTTGCGACTGAGGCCTGTTGGCCAAGATGGGCCGGTACTCAGACAGGGCCGCATGCTGAGTCAGAGTTCAGAGTCAGAACACGGCTCATAAAACTGCACACATTTGCATGACATGGCACTTATTTTAATCAGACATTGTTGCTGAAAAACAGAAATAGAACAAATGTGATCTCTTATAACTTTACCATGCCTATGAACAAAGAAGGCTCGAGTCAAAAACACATTTAAAGCAGTTAAAATKTATCTCAACACATAATTTGAATACTAACAGACAAGGCAGTGGGCAGTGTGTACTTATTAAAGGAACACTGGTTTCATAAAATGTCATTAAAAACAGATTAGGGCTTCTCACCGCTTTGTGGATATGCCTCTTGATCAAAATGTAGAGCACAGGGAGAGTGAGGTAAGCCAGGAACTCCCAGATTTTCCCAGTGAGTAGCATCCACAGAACGYGATCCTTTTCTTGGATCCTGACCCAGCACCACCCCACAGACACCTCAGAGGCATCGTAACCAATCTTGTTGAGGCACACAGCGGTGACGGTGATGATCAGAGGGACGCCCCAGCTGCAACACAAGACACAGGGAATGGAGAAACTTCAATACTGAAAAAATAAATAAATAAAATAAAATAAATCCTGTATTTAAAAGGTATTTGTGTTATAGTAGATACAAACTTTAAGCAAGTTAGTGTTGGTGTTTCTGACTGTGAGCCAAAACCACAAAGTAATTTCCCCTTTTATTTTTACTTCTTAAAAGCATCACCTTTCCACTAAATACTTTAATCTTCTATTTTATTGTTATTCATGGCCGATTACCATACCATAAAGTGTTCACATGCTTACAGATTTCTCCTGTTTCTGCTATTTTTATCCTTAAATGTTTCACATTATTAATCGATTGTTAATATCAGAGAAATATAACCTGAATAAATAAATTAAATAAAACAATCAAATTAAAAATTACAGTTCTCACAATATTATTCTCATATTAGTGGATAACGTGTTGTTAAATACAAAATTTGTGACTGGATTCCAACTACCACGGGAGTTTGTTCACCTACGAAATCAGCTGAAGTGACCGAAAATAGCCTGTTTTCAGTCACTTCGGTTGATCGCCCCGTTTGTGCCAGAATGCAAAGACTTGGTAACAGACACGACATGACATTTCCCTCATTAGACAGTATTTGGTTTTACATATTCTATGGAGGGACAGAGTTTTTGTTAAACTGAAACATACATTTGGTTTTGTCTTAGCAAGCACTTTAATTTTTAAATTCATGAGTTCCTTGAATCACCTTAGAATTGCACCCCCCCACACTTTTTTTTTGGCCATTTATGTTCATTTTTAAAATCCCCTCACATTTTTCATTTTTTTGCAAGGGTTTCTTGTTCAGGTATGTACATTTATATATAATTTTAAAAGCCTTTTCTTTCCATATGTTGTTTGTTTTAAGTAAAAAGAAAATTTTGAATATGAGAGTTTCTGGCGTGTGGCTTGACTTTTACAATAAATGGACCATTGGCTATTTGAAAAGTATCTTTGTGGACCTTCAACAGAGTTGTAAGGTAACTAAGTACAAATACTTTGTTACTGCACTTAAGTAGAAGTTTTGGTTATCTGTACTTTACTTGAGTAATTATTTTTCAGCGTACTTTTTACTTTTACTCATTACATTTTTACACAATTATCTGCACTTTCTACTCACTACATTTTTTAAAAAGGTATGAAGTAGAAAGTCATTACTCCTATTTTATTCAGAGTTGTTATTACTTAAAAAAAATCCTATCCTGATAAATTGTGTCTCCTGGATAGAGTGAATTTAATTGTTGTATGAGAAGTATAAATATATACCATTCATTTTTTTGGAGAAGTCACATCCCAGTAAATGTCATTTTGGAAAATCTAACTGCTCACTTTTACTCAGTACTTTTACTTTTAATACTTAAGTAGATTTTGTGTCAGAAATTTACTTTTGATACTTAAGTACAAAAAATAGCAGATACTTTAAGACTTTTACTCAAGTAATATTTTTAGGGAAGACTTTAACTTTTACCAAAGTATTTTTTTATGATAAGATACTTGTACTTTTACTCAAGTATCACTTTGAGGTGCTTTATACTAGTGGTTCCCAAACTTTTTATCTTCTGACCCACAAAATATCCACGGCAAAAACTTGTGACCCCAAATATTACTGGTCTGAGTACACAAACTTCGTTAATAACCCTAAAAACATAGGCTTTTGACAATCTACACATTTTGTACACAACTGTAAATACATATTTATTGTTATTTTGTGTTTTTGTAATAATTATAGGGAAAATATTACACCAGCAATTATTTTAGTACCCTTTAAATTGATTTCTGGAGATTATCCAAGGTGCTTCATGACCCATAGTTGGGTCCCAAGCCCAACTTTGGGAATCAAAGTGCAGTGGTTCCCAAASTTTTCAGCTTTTGACCCACAAAATATCAGTAGCAGAGACCTGTTCCCAACTATGTTTGGATGATAAACATTTGTATCAGGTCAACAAAACATGGGCACAGTAACAATATTTTTATACATTTATCCATTTTAAATACACTAACCTCACTCATTTGTAACAACTTTGGCAAAAATGTAATTAATTCAGAAAATCTTTTCAGGACCCCATCTTGATGTTTCGGGACCCCACTTTGGGTCCCGACCCCAACTTTGGGAAACACTGCTTTATACAGCACTGACCTTCAAGGTTTATATTTGAGTACCCCTGGACTAATATGTCCRTCACGTGACTCAAGCCTTCACCTGTTTCCTGTGGGTTCCGCCCATTTGTTTTGTTTACATTGAGTGTGGACCAGCATTTCAGAACAGCAATCAGGATACGCTGAAATCTACTGGAGTAAACTATGCAACTTAATATGGTTCAGGATCACCTTTCTATTTTACTAGTTTGTACTTTGCTATGACCATCTTTTAATTAGGTTGATAATCTGCATCAGATTAGGCCACACCCCTTGCACCTGCGTTTCAATGGATGGAAACGGTCGGGTCAGTGTTGGTTGGGCTAGTTCAACTTTATGGGTTTAAAATAACCCCCTTTCCTCGGTGTAATGTTTTTAAAGTTTTAKGTAGGAATTGTTAGTTTTTTTACGCCTAACTTAATTCATGTAAGTGCTTTAAGTTTGTTGTTTATCTCGAGGCTAAATTAATGTTAGCTAGCATCGCCGTGTAGTTTTGAACTCTTTACGTTACCTGACGAGGTGGAAGGACAGCACCAGGCTGTCGGCGAACCGCTGGCTGGACCTGACTATGAAGACGTACAGGTACACGGCGATGGCCACGGTCCAGAAGAAGCTGCTGGTGTTGGCGAARGTGGACACCGCTCCTTGAACGACGCAGTCGAGCGAGTCGGCGCGGAAARCCCTCCAGACTCCGACGGCGTAGGAGACGGCGGACAGCCAGTCGGTCACCGACAGGTAAACCAACAGCTTCCTCGGGGTCGTCCTCAAATCTGACCAAACCAAGTAGGTGAGGACGATCAGGGAGGACCCTAAAAAGGACAGGGCGCAGGTACACAACACCACCACCTGTTCAGAGACGTACAGCTCTGTGCTGTTTGCAGCCATGCTTCAGGGCATCAGTGAGACATGACGATCACCAAAAACACCCAGTCTGGTGCTTTCAGGGAGCCGAACTAAACTTTTTAGCCTCCTCTTAAGACCTCCCTGCCCGCCTCTTCTTCTTTGCTCAAACCGGAACTCGAAGCAGAAGTGTAAGTCAGCTGCTGGTTTGTTTTTCTATCTATTTTTGCTTTCATGTGTGACCGGACCGCCTGTACAGCCGTGGCATCAACATGAGACACATGAAAGGAACGTGATGTTTAAACAACACTGACACACTTTCTTATCACCCCCATCCCCCCGGAAAGGTGACGGGGGACTATTGTTTTCTCCTGTCGTCTGGTGACTGGTCTGTTACCAAAACATATCACAAACCACGTGACTTATTTTATTAAAACTTGCATAAAGTAATCATTGGACTTTCATTTAGAACTGATTTATCTCAGCTGATACAAGATGGTTTCCAGCTAACTAATATTAAAAACACACAAAAAATGGCTATAACTCAGTTTTACAGATGTTGACCTGAATTTTGCAGTAGGTTTTTGTTGATCTCTGTTTATAACTCATGCTATAGCCCTTGTTTAAGAAACGCTAGGCCTTTATTTTAATATACTGTGATTATTACAGTTTTTATTTATTTTTAGACTAATACCATAACTACTCAAACACTCATGACATATAGCTTATAAATGAGTGATAAAATAGTTTGACGAGAAACCCAAATATCATCTGTAAAAGATGTAAAGATAAATATAAAAATAAACAAGTTTTTTATTGTGAGTCGTTGCTTTGTGTAGCAGTGTGATGTTACGGTTGAAGTTGCTCATGTATATCTTAATATTACAATACGTTTATCTGTACCTTTTTGATTTGTTTACAGAAATGGTGCTGAAGTAGAGAATATACTTTTAATATTATTTTATATGTTTCAAAAAATTCATAGCGGTTCTGCTGCGATGCACTTTCAAATATTCATTTATTGTTTATTTGTATAGGGACAAGTATTAACAAAACATTTACAGCCTAGGCTAATTTGCATTCTGGTTTTTCTGGAGACTTTGTGGTTCGATTCCACCACTTTTCAGTCACATGTCAAAGTGTTTCAAGGCAAGACACTGATCCTGCCTCTGATGTGTCTCATCTGATTAGTTTCTATAGAAAAAAAACATATTCAGATTAGTTTTATAGAGAGTGTGTGTAAATGAGGGCACATGGGTTTGAGTATCTTGGTTGGATAAAAAGGCACTGTATAAAAGTACAGTCCATTTACCATTTTATCATCTTTGCATTTATGAAATACAAATATCTCTTAGGCAGAGTTACAAAAGAAGGTTTGGATTATTTGACAACTAGTGTGAGCTCATTGTTTAAATCTGTGTTTGTTAAATATTGATGTAGGCATTTCCAGTGATAACTAAAGGTACAAAGGTTTGAAATTGCACAGAACAAATATTTTACTGATAGATAAGTGTAGTGACTTTGCACCCAGGAGCCGAAACTATTCCTGAGAGGCTACTAAAAAGCCTAAAGTTTATTTTGCCACCAAGTCTGAAGTGTCCACTTATGAGGAAGAATTAATGGGTGATGAAGAAAAAAATGAGATCGATAAAATAATTAGGAAGGCTGGTCAGGTCGCTGGAGAAAAGAGAAAAGGCGCTACATTAAAAACCGTTTTGCATCTCAAAGTCTTTCCATCTCAGTTTTTAAAAGACTCAGGAGCTTATTTTGTCAGAGTGGTGATGCATCAGTGATCTGTTCAGCAAGTTAGAAATAATTTGTTTTGGCACTGGTCAGAATCTTAATGAACCTTTTTAGTTGCTCCATAGGTCCACAGTGTTAAACTGTCTTTTTTTATTAGCCTTTTTTTTGCACTTTTATAAATGTTTGCTGTTGTCGCATGGAAATACGCATGCGTTTTTTAATTAACTGGCAAAAAAAACTTTGTCACTGGTTATTAAGAAACCATTTATTCTAAGATACACAGAAATTCAATGTAAAACCAGTAGAATAAGGAGACATTTCTGTTTCAAAGTCACATTTAAAGAAGTGGAAATACTAGATTTTGGTAAAATAATTTTATTTTAAGCTTGACACTAAATTCATAGTTTTCTTATGACAAATTAATTTGGGACATTTTATTATAACTTTCTTAATGAAGCCTCACGGGACAAACAAACAACAGCAAAAAAAAGACTTACAATGATTGCAATTAACGTCTACATTTTTAATATTTAACAATTTGTTCATGTGGAATTAGTTTATATAAATTTGCCTAAATGATCAATAAACTATTCTAATAATGTTATTATTTTATTCAGCTCAATAGTTTGTTAAACTTCAGTGAAAATGTGGTTAATTGTTTTATTTACACACACACACACACACACACACACACACACACACACACACACACACACACACACACACACACACACACACA